GCAAGTGAATATTGTTTGGATAAATAGCACTTTTGCAGAAGTTCCCACAAATGCACTTGAAGGTTGCTTTGGTTTCATAGTTGATCTGGAAGATCTTGACACTATGCTGCCATTCCATCATTTGGAGCCTGCCATCTTGTTCTTTTCTTCTACACAGCCTGAAGGTCATTATTTTTGAGTTATCATATACGTAGGTTGAAAAAACAAAAAGGTCTAACATCCTTGGTTAATGGCCTTTTTCAAAAGAACAAAATAATTCTTCAGAGGTTGTATTAACACAGTCTTTTCTAACACTGCCTTTGGACAAATGGAATTTGTTCTTGTTTACACAAAGTTACTGCTGTTGCAGTGATGCTAGATAAACAAGCAAAGTTACCACCATGCAACCCACTACTCAAGAAATTTGGCTAAAAAAGTTTCACACAAATTCTCTTGTACATTCTGATTGTTCATCAATATTACTAACCCAAACACTTAACCTGTTCCTGTCGTTTGGCTTGAATTTTGCATAATATGTGACCTTTAAGCTTAATCATTGGTCTAGAACCATTTAAATGTAAAAGAAAAGGTCTAGAAAAATGGGCATGACCCCAAAATTTTGAATAGTAGTTTATAAGGAAGAAATGCCACTGCATGTGAGGACGAAACCTCTGCAAATGAGGAAGAAATTTCACTATGAGGGAAGTAGAAATCTCATGGTAGGTATGGAATAAACTTTGCTCCATGTGCCAATATAGCCACATATCCCTCTGGTTGCTGTTTTCAAGTTGTGGTGGTAGTCTTCTAGACTGTGTTACAAAATATTGTATACTTTAATGTTATCATTTTGTACTAACATACATTTTTCATATATACGTTGTAATTTTAAATCATACTGTATGAATTTACTTAATAAAAAACAAACTATATATGCATTTATGAATTAAACCCATGGTCCTGTGAGATTCATTTTGTGTGTGTGAGTGTGTGCAAGATGAACAATTAGTTATTACAGGACAGTTAGGTTTGAAAACATCAACAGCTAGTGTATGTTTCAAGTAGTCATCTGCAAATGCAGTCAAATGAAGTGATACAATGTTCATAAAAACTCTGACAATAATTTATTAGCCCACAACGAAACTGATTTGCAGTATAGGCACATGCACAATAATAACAGTAAAATGTAAAAAAAAAAAAAAAAAAAGTCAGTGATCAATCTAAGACATACCCCACATGCTAGACAGCCACAGTACACACACACTACGCAAATCTCATAAATGCAATAATTCAATATATGAAAGCAACATTTGTATAAACACAGCACAGAAAAAGGCATCATGCTTTCTGCATGAGGCAGAAGGCCACCCACCAACACCAGGGTCTGTCAGTTTTCTTCGGTTAAAGGGAGTTTTCCCTCCCTACCATCACCAAGTTCTTGCTCAAGGGGGATGTGTTGCAAGTGATGCTTGAATGGTAGAGAATGCAACAGCTTTTATGTACTTGATCTGTCTATGTAAATTTGTTCCCTCATTACACTGACCAGTAACAGCAGAGAGATATCAAATACACACAGTGTATACTAAACATTGCTTCTGGGTGTGTTTGGAGGGGGGTCAAGCAGTAGTTGTTTAAATTGAGATCAGTAACTTTTAAAGCATACTTCTCAAATGAAAACATAGAAATAAATTAATGTGAAAATACCTTTTAAAAAAATCCATAGTGAAATAAAATTGTGATGGAACTTGGTGGGGAGTAACATACTGAATTTGAACAGCTCGGTTCTATGGCAAATTTGTTTGTGGTCCATAGTAAAATAGCTCAACAGTTATTATTAGTTTGTATTACTTTGCAGAGTATAAGGATACTCCTGTCAATCAAGGTGTTAACAGAGTGATTTATGACCAATGATGTCACAGTTTTTTATTCTTCACTTCCAGTATCCCCAGAGTTTTACTACATGGAGGTGTAGCCCCCACCTTTCCCCCACCCGGTTTTTCTGGCAGTTTATTATTTTGCAGTTCAATGTAAAGAATAATTTTAGAATATAAAATTAACAGCATAATTCTTTCTCTTTTTTTTACTTAAGAGAAGCTCTCCTTTCTTCCCCAACAATACTTGAGTTCAAGGATGTTAAGGTGAGGGAACCAAGTCTAAGCAGAGGGACTCAATAGGCAGACTGAGGCAGATGGATTCAAACAAGAGCTTTATTTATGAAGGGCTGTACTAGAGGTTGATACACCAGCCAAGGATCAGACGGGAACCCTCCAGGGATCCAGATGTCTGAGTTGGTCAGCAGGTGATAAGGTCATAGGACCGGAGGTAGCTGGTTCAACGACAGGGCTGCAGGTGAGCAGGGTGGTTGCTGGTTTAGGTGCAGTGAGGAGGAACAGGTGACTTGGCCACAGGACTGGAGGTAGCGGGTTCAGCGTTGGGGTTGCAGGTGAGTCGCTGGTTCGTATGAAGCCCAGGAGCAGTGAGGAGGAACAGTTGAGTTGGCCACAGGACTGTGAGGGTGTTCCACGGAGTAATTGTGCCAAACAGGAACCGGGCAGGAACATGAGACACTGGCGAGTGGCTCACACAGGACTAAGAAAGACCCACACCACTCTAGAGCGCCTTCAGGAGCAAGGAACCAAGCAGGAACGAGGCACACAGGTGAGTAGCAGACACAGGACCAAAGGAGAGTCACACAGCTCTGTGGCATCGTCAGGAGGAAACCAGGTTGGAATTATCCTAATTACGTCAATCCAGTTCTTATTCTATTCTATTTTTATTCTACTTTATTTTATTTTATGTATGTATATGAGAAAATATTAGAATTACCACTAAGGTTTTGTGAAGAGTAACGTTGTTACATTTTTGCAACATTTTGTTTCTGTTTCCACTCTCTCTCTGTTTAGGGATCTGGTTCTGCTTTGTCCCACCGATGACCTCCTCTTCCTATCTGTTAAAAGAGCTTTATTTCTCTCTTGCTAAAAAGGAAGTTGGAGTGTCTGCATGACAGTGTATCAGTACTGTTTTACTTGTCCTCAGCCTGCTGGTAAAAAGGCTGACTCCTCTCCTCCTGGTCGCTACAGCACCCCCTCTCTCCTCCTTCATCGACTCTCAACCCAGCTGAAGTTCCTCTCCGTCTCCTCCTCTTCTCCAATATAGCCTCCCGCCACACGACCCCAGGTTGCTCTCTCCACCAGCTCTACCAGCTGTCTAGTCGATTTCCTCTCCCGTTGGTGAGACCTGCTGAGTTGATGTTTTTCCCCTCTGTCTGTTCTTCAATAAAACTGTTTCTATTGGTCTGAGTTTGAGTACTGCCTCTTGGGTCCGATTTTGTGCTTGTCTGACGGTAGGCAGTGTAACAGTGGCAGAGGGATACATTTTATTACAGTGGAACCTTGGCTTGTGAGTAACCCGGTCTGAGAGTGTTTTGCAAGACGAGCAAAGATTTTGATTCGATAAACAAGCGAGGTCTCGCAATACGAGTAGTACGTACACTTTGTCTGCCGAGCATCATGTCACAACTGAGCCGATGGTTCTCGCACCTCACTCGTATAGTGCTGAGGCAAAAATTATCTTATTAAAGCTCGGGGAGTGTAAAATAAAGACTTAACATCAACTCTGAAAGTTATTACACATTTATTTCTGCAGAAAGGAGCGCTCTCTAAACAGAGTGTCTAAACAGTCGGAAGGAGAAGCTCCTAGAGCAGTGGGCTACTTCTCTTCTTATACACACACATTCAAATGCAGGAAACAGATGCCCAGACAGATACAAAACAGGATATAAGTTATCTGGTTCAGCATTCACACAAAGGCATGCTTATCTCTACAAACATGCTGGGACAGTAAACTGTCTAGTGTCACAAGCACACAAATAACTGCATAGAATAACTACATGGGTGCTAATATAAAATTCCCATTACAATAGTCAACATCTGTACTGCAACAATGGCCCCTCACGCCAGCCACAATTCTTTTCAAAGGTACAGTGCAGGTTAATTTGTTTTATTTTTACTTTATACTGTATTTTGTATTACTGTAATCATTTTTATATGAATAAGCGGTTGTGGAACGAATCATCTGAGTTTCCACTATTTCTTATAAGGAAATTCGCTTTGATATACGAGTGCAAGCATGTTGCCGGAATGAATTATACTCACAATCCAAGGTTTCACTGTAGTTGCATGTATGTTGTTGTTAGCCAATATTTAATTATCAAGTTATCCTCAGAGTTAACTCTGAAGTGAGTTTGTACTTTGCAGACTTCATAGCTGGAATATTTCTGAAGTTTGTGGTTTTGAGACACCAATGCTGAATGACGGAACTTGATTTCAACTGACAATGAACTGGCAGCTATCACTAACCCAGGGATTTGTCTCTGTATGTGCTTGGAGTGCTCAGCAGTTCAGCCATGCACTTTAGCCACAAGGGGTTCACATACAGTCAACATCCTTTAAAGCACTCACAATGGTGAATAGTCTTTAAAAATTCCTGTATCCAAATTATGATATGGATCAGCACCAAAATCTAATCAATTATTTCGTTGGCCGTACCCTACCTCTCCAAAAAATGCATCAGAATCTGTTCATTACTTTTTTAGTTATACTGTTAATAAATAATCCAACAAACGCAGACAAAAATATAACCCCTGTCCTTGGCAGAGGTAAAAAAGGTTATGTGCCTTATGCAAGACTGGTGATGGGGGTTATCATCCTGAACACTACTGTCCTAATCCCTTCTTAGAGGATAGAGGCTTAGTGGAACCTCAGGTTAGGTTGAACACAAATACTACAGGAGCTCAGAGGATCATCCAAACAACCAGGACCCTCTGCTTATGGACAATTTTATTGTCTTTTCCTCATTTTCCCTTTTATATCCCCTGCGCTTTCTTTGGCTCTGGCAACTGTCCTCCGGTCAAAACCTCTGGATTAACTGAAGGACCCGATCATTTCCAGTGGGATTATTTGGAGGCCATTTTAATAGCTGACTAAAGAAAGCATTGTTGTCCTTTATTGAACTACAAACTTAAGATGAAAGACCGACTGGCACAGCTGAAGGAGGTAGGCTGACTTTCTGTCATATTTTCCTTGTGAATCATAAGTTAGTGTCACATGCCCTAATGACACTTTGGCCTTCTAAATTATAATGATTTTCTACTATCTAGATAATCCAGTGTTTCCAATAGTATTTAACTGCCATCACCAATACATTGCATATTTCAACAAATATGTACACCACATTAAAAATATTGTATTAAAGTAGATTAGGACTGCATATTTAAAATATCTGATGGAGCAAGTGTTACTGTATGACTGTGTACAATAGTATAATGTGAAATCCATTCTGTGAAATCTGAAATCTTATTTTAGGAAACATTTTGAATGTAATATGTTCAAAAACATTTTTAAAATAGGTAAGCCTGTAGTCCTAAAGCCCACGTCAACCTAAATATTGACTTAAACTTGTCATACTATTTACTGTTGTGTACTATTTACTGTTTACTGGTGTGCAGAGACATTTATGCTGCCTTACTTGACAGCAACTGGAACCATGCTGGCAATAATGTTTTTCAAAGTGTAAAACTACTGTAAAATGAATGTTTTACATTACAGAGTAAGCATAAGGTCTGTGGGTTGAGACTGGTCTCCCCTTTTTACTCATTAATTACACAATAAGAAAAAAGTTTACAAGCACTATGTCTTGTTGGTAACCAGTAAGTACTAATAGGAACTTGTTCAGTTCTTCCTTCAGTACTAATCTCTGTTTTAATGTGTGTGTGTGTGTGTGTGTGTGTGTGTGTGTGTGCACGCACTCTTAACAGAAGAGTGATACTGCAGCTGATGACGCTGAGGTTCACATGGAGAACGAGGCTTTTATGGATGATTTCTTTGCTCAGGTATTCTGTTTATCTATGGACCTATGATCTTGCTGGCTGTTTTCACTATGCATTGCGGGGTCCTTCTGCAGGATGCAGTACAGCCTCCGTACCACACAATGATGCAGCCAGTGATGACACTCTCAATGGTGCTCCGGTAGAAGGAGCATATGATGGGGGGTGGGACACTGACTCTTCTCAGTTTGTGGAGGAAGTAGAGACGTGTTTGAGCTTTCTTGGACAGTGATGTGGTGTTGTTGGTCCAGGAGAGATCCTCAGAGATGTGCACCTCCAGGAACTTGGTACTGCTCCCTCTCTCCACTACAGCACTGTCAGTGGTCAGTGGGGGATGCTTTAGAGGTTTCCTCTCAAAGTCCACAACGATCTTATTAGTCTTCCCCCACATTGAGGGAAAGGTTGTTGTCCTGACACCACTGGACCATTTTTAAATTCTATTCTGAATTTTACAGGGTGCCAGTGAAGAGAAGCTAATATGGAAGAAATATGATCTCTCTCTTGCTAGTTCTGTCAGTATTCTGGCCAGAGCTATGTTATCTAGAACAACATTTCTCACGGGGTGGGTCATGGGTATGTTTCAGGTGGGTCGTGAGAGACATGGTGAAAAAAATAAAATAAAATTTTTGATTGGCGAGTGACAGTGCACACCCACTGAAGACAGGTCCACTTGTTGAGAAGATGGCAAAACAAAAATATGATTCAGACTATGTTAAGTATGGATTTACTTACATAGATGATAAAAATGGACATAAACCTAAATGTGTGATATGCAGTGAAGTACTGGCACAAGAAAGTATGAAGCCATCCAAGTTAAAACACCATTTCGAAACAAAACAGCCTGCGTACAAAGACAAACCAGTCGAATACTTTCAAAGACTAATTCGGGACCTGAGGACCACCCAGAAGAGACTGCTGTCCTCGTATTCCAAATCAGAGCTGGCACTACGGGCCTCTTACCTCATGGCTCAGCGTATAGCAAAGGCCGCATACAATAGCAGAAGAGTTCATCTTACCTGCAGCCCTGGACATGGTCAGAAAGGTATTAGGCCAGTCTACAGCAGACAAGTTGAAGATGTTTGAAGATGAGGTAAGCCTTACCCATTTCTGGTGCAAATATGTGATGTCTGAGTATCCCTCCCTCGTGGCATCGGCAGTCAAAACAATCCTACTGTTCACAACCCAACTGTGTGAAAGTGTCTTCTCCAATTTTTTTAATTTGAGTTTTTGACAATACAAACAGAACAGTCCCTGAGACAAGATCAATGCGGTGATATGTAACAGGAAGCAAATATGAATGTACATTTAAAGAAAAAAAGTATAGTAATAAAAATACCACAAATTAATACAAGTAAAATAATAAATGGGACAGTGGATTCTGACAAGGCCATTTTCTATCACAGAATTGGTTCAACAAGCCCTAAAAATATTATTGTGCACCAAGATATACTTTCACAGGATGCTATCTTCGATTAAAGAGGTCCATTGTCAGTTGTAAAGATGCAGTCATTTTTTCCATAACAAAAACTTGTTTTACCTTTTGTTTCCATTCACATATAGTTGGTGAGTTCACATTCTTCCAGTTGACAGTAATAATTTTGTTAGAATCAATGCCAGTATCCATAGCATGTATCTTTGGTCAGCATCAAAATCCTCACTTGAAGTAACACCATCCACTCATTTTCTAAACCGCTTAGTCCCAAACGGGGTCACGGGGGGCTGGAGCCAATCCCAGCCAGCTGCGGGCGAAAGGCGGGGTACACCCTGGACAGGTCGCCAGCCCATCGCAGGGCCAACACACTGACGAACAACCAATATTGTGCTACATTATTTGGTTTTCTACTAATTCTTTCTTTCTCATTGTGATCCGTGTGTAGTGTCTAATTTGGAAATACTGTACCTATAAAGATCATTTGATGGCAGATTGAATTGTTCTTGGAGTTGTGAAAAGGACTTCAACTCTGTTCCCTCAAATAGTTGATTAATTGTGATCAGGCCCGTCATGGCCCATCTCCTAAAGCCATGATCCCAAGTGGAGGGTGGAAAGTGTATATTGCCCAGTATTGGCATGGCTCGAGAGATTGATCCAGTGTCTTTTAGCATTTTTTTAACTTCTATCCATACCTTCAAAGTGTGTTTTGTCCAGCCATTTCTGATTTTCATTTTGTTAACACATTTTAAATCGATAAAGGGGAGCAGGGCGCCGTGACAGCTGTGGATCCAGCCACATCAGGGTTTACACCCAGCACCTGATAATCAAAGGTATTTGTACTGGCCTTCAATTCACACCTGTGGACTTGTTTTCCACTTCAGCAGGTGTGAGTATGTGTACACATTTAGTTTCACCCTGTTCTATTTGAGTCCATCCTTAGTGATGGCCGATGAGGCTTTGTTGAAGCTTCGACACAGTGTTCACACAAATGGTTCATTACTCAAGGCCTCAATGACACAGTGCTCGAGTAGGACATCTAGTGGTCAAGAAAGTGAAGTGCAGTCAAGACGTGTCACTCATTGGTTCGTGGATTGTTTGGGATTTGATTCGCCATGCATATTCCTGTTCGACTACACTACATGGTTGTATGGTTTCAGGCTGATGCAATAAAATATAAAATAAACATGAACACATGTTGAAGACCATGTTTCTTATGTGGCACGTCTGATTGTAACCCTATATACTCCTCACTTATATTTTGTGTTATGAAAACATTTAAATGGTGCTGCCACATTCATGAGCTGTGCTCTACAGATTCAGACAGATGTCATTTTCATATGGGGCTGGTGCAAATACAGATTATAGTGTGGACCAAGGTATGTTTTGGGGTTGATTGGTAAAGAGGTTCATGGGTATGTGGGTAAAGAGGGTGTGCTTGAAGAACAGGGTAGTGGGTGTGCTTGTGTAACTGTTTGAGTTTTTATTGAGAAATAACAGTA